CTCCCCTGCAGCCCCCCTTCAAAGTCTGCTCCAAAAGGGTTGGTGGGCTCTGTGAAATGGATTTTGTGGTGCATGGGGAGATGAGGGTAAGACTGCACGCATGGAATGTTACTTGGGTAATATTGCATACAACCAGCCTTTTTTTCTGGGGGAATGCATTCCCCTAAACATTTTGTGAATCTAAGTTTGGCCTCATTGAGGGGCAGTATTTCAATATGAGTAGGAAAATGAGAGTACCCTTAAACATTTTTTTAGAAAAAAAGCACTGCATACGACTGTATTCCTGCAACTTTTTGCAAATTTGTATCAATTGCACTTCCAGTTTTGTATATTTGTGCATGAATAAAAGAATAAATCAACAACCCCTTCTCCCAAAGCAAGTCTTCAACAAAAAGAATACTTACATGTTATTTAATGCATTTGAAGTAGCAAATGACTTCCCTTTCCCATCACACTGAACACATAATGCATCTGCCAACAATGCACCATTGGTGTCTCTTTCCACTAAGTAAGAAGAGAATATGAACACATATAGTAACATGAGACTGGAAGAAATTTAAAGACTATTTACAGAAATATGGTAAAATTAATGAATGTTAGAATGATGTTGGAATGAAGTTAAGTGGTTTTAGCAGCAATGTTATTAAGGTTTATGTAAAAATGGATTGTTAATAGATGGGAACTTGAAGTAATAATATACTAAGATTAAGGATTAAGATAAGAACAAAAAGGGAAAGGATTTGCTGAATTAATTAACTGATCTGGGATGCAAAAAAGGGAGGTGTGAGGAGGTCCGGGAAACAAGTGAACGAAAGACAAGATATGAAAGGACTGATTTGTTTTTAATTGTTATTCTATTTTTTCTGTTTTTTGGATTTTATTTTCTCTTTTTTATTTTTGTCTTTTTTGTATTATTGTAATTTTGTTTGAAACTTTAATAAATATTATTTTAGAAGAACACATATAGTAACATGGCATATAGGCTTACACAGTGAATAACTGTGTACAAATGCAATGTTTCAGAAAAAAGCTAGAAAATTCAGTTGCCTAATGCACTCCACAAATTTAAAACTTTACTGTGATCCAAAGGGCTTTTCAGTGTTCTGCACATATGCTGGGGCCTTCTAGGACTGCTCTTCCTTCCATAGGCTCTGGTGGATACTGAAAAATCATTCCAAAATCTTTCGGAACTCTTTTGAGTGAAACTCCATGTGACATAAGGGATTGTTGCAGTTAGAAAACCAGCTACTTGGAATGCTTTTTACACATGGATGGGTCTCTTAATGCTATAGAAACCTGTCAAATTGACCCACAGGCATGGGAGAGGTCAGGATCAAGCCTACTGACTGGAACCTGTTCCTCACTCCTGAATTAAAGCATCTAAGGTAGCAGGGAAACCTCAACTCAAGTCTTGTAAAGCTAGTCAGAGGAGACAATACCAAGTTAGACAGACAAATCATCTGACAATATAAAGCAAGTTAATAAGTTTATATGTTCATTTTTTGTCTCTGTTGTTATCATTCTGTTACTGTCTTATTGACCTCTTGATTTTAGTTAAGAAGCCCATAGTAGAATAGCTGCAAAAACCACCTTCCTCAAATGCAGCGTAGTATTTGATATTGGGTGGGTGAAAAGACTAATATATTTTTATTACTTTCTTAAGACAGAAATCAAACATATAGTATTGTATCCAATCTTTTCATCCCATGAATAGAAGGACCCTTTCTGAGGCTGTGTATGCATCATACATTTTAAGCATATGACTTTCCGCATCCTGAATCTTGAGAACTATAGTTTGTTAAGGGTGCTGAGAACTGTAACTTGGTGATGGGTAAACTACAGTTCCCATGATTCTTTTGGGGACATAATGTACTTTAAATGTATGGTGTGTACACAGCCTTGGTGTGCAACTCTCTTAAGTGCACAACTCTCTTTCTATGTATTGAAGCTCTTTCCATTCATGGACTTAAAATATTAGGTACAACCCACAAAAATATTCAGTACTGCTTCCTCTGCTGGAGAAATCAAATATTTTAACACAATGAACAGCTTCATAGAATTCTTACCCAATATCTCATTAACAGGGCATTTACATTTTCCTTCACTAGTTAAGCCTTTAGGACAAGTAATGCAGTCCCATCCATCTTGAGTAACTCCACTCTAAAAAAAACACATATTAAAATATTTTAAATCTCACTGCATTATAACTATATAGTACATCTAGACATTGTTTGCAGTAAAAACTGTTTAGATTTTATTGCAAGTATAACATTACCGTGCTTTCGGGACATTTTTCACAAGTTATAGAAGATCCACCATTATCAGAAACTAACTTGAATCCTGGTAGACAAGTGCATGATGTACCTGAAGCAAACACAATAACTTGTTATTTCAGTTGCTACAAACTGAAATCCAATTTGCTCTATCAAGGTTACCTCTCTGAAATATATCCTAAAAGCCTGCATCTCCATTGGCACTTTTGTGTGGTTTGATGGCTAGTAATGGACTATGCTTGGGGAAACTTGCATTCAAAGCCTATTGTTAGCTGTGAAACTTACTGACTGATCCCGGACCTGTCACTCTTTCAACCTAATCATGCACACTGACAATGCTATATAAATAACAATACACTAGGGAGTGACAGAAGCAGTCACACCTTACAGCATGGTGTCATATCAGGGTCTACTAGTAGATCACTTTGGGTTTTTTTGTACTCCCAATAGTTTTACAGTAGCAACAGCAAACTTTTTCTCTCCCCATCCTAATGGGACTGATGAAATGAATAAAGATTGGGGTCATGATGCGTGCATTTTTCTGCCAAAGGATAGCAAAATCAGCCATGATTCTCAAAACAAATTCTTGAGCTCATCGAGTTCTTTAGCTCTTGCGAAGATGGCAGGAAAGGCCCTCCTTACATGTCCAAAACCAAGACCATGTCCAAAACCAAGATTCATGAAAAAGCCTTCTCTGTAGAGAGGCATCACTTCTCTAAAATGCTTTATCAACTGCCCTGGAATAAATCCCATCACTTCACCCGTCGAGGAAAACCCCCATAGACCCACTTCATACACAGTTGCGTTCTGTTGTAACTACGTAAGATGTTTGGGGTTGGACCCTTGCAGTTTATTTCGCTTGGCCTTTAACGATTTCTTCGTTGTAGCTGCATTTGAACTGAAACATTAGAGGGAGGGAGACATAGGGCAATACGCAACGTTAGCCATACTCGAAGCAGCAGGCCCATTCAAATCAATGGGAAGGCCATGGATTTCAATGGGTCGGCTGATGTACTCGGGAGTATGACTGAAGTGGGAAGAAATGAGGCTTTGATACAAGCGGGGGAAGGAGCCCTCCCGAGGCGCTGGCTCCTCGCCAGGAGGCCCTTCCTAGGGATTTCGCCTGTAAGCCGCGCTCGCCCAGCTCGCCTCACCCCGAGAGCCTTTCCTCTGCGAGGCCCCGCACTGCCCGCAACTCAGGCTGGCGATGTCAAAGTACTGCGTCCCACCGCAGCCCTGGGGCCGGTGCAGCGGGAGGAAGAAGCCCTGGCCTCCCGACAGTCCCGCGCCGAACGGGAGCAAGAAGAAGGCCGCGCAAACCCAGCGCCTCGCCGTCGCCATGGCTACCGAGGCCTCGGCCGCGGCTGCCTGCCTCAGCGGCGCAGCCAATAGGCTCTCGCGTCTCGGAGCTGCCGCTACGGGACGCCAGGCAGACCAAAAATATCAGAGTGCGCAAATCATAACCATTCCCCAGTAGGTGCCCTATTGAATTCAACGGGGTTTGCTCACAAGGTTAATTGGGGTTAGGATTACAGCCTTAGTTGACCGAATACTCGATCTGTCTAAAATTTTCTCGACAAATATAAAGGGGGGAAATTGGCCTTTCGCAAGTCAGTTTTTTCCTGTTTTGCGGTCACTCTTACATCAAGTCAATAAACGGTTTTTCTATGGGGAAAGACTAAGCATGTCTACGCAGAAGAAATCCGCCCCAAATTCGGTAGGGTTTTTTCCCCTCAGTTAAAGCGCAGGGTTGCAAATCAAATCAAGGAAGATCGGTGTTTCGTTCATACCGGGGAATAAGTGCATTTATTTGGTAGTGAAGTTGCTTTGAGATTACTGTGTAGGTGCTACATAAAGCACAGATTAGTTATAAGACTGCTGTTAGGAGCTACTGCCAATGGTGATGATAGAACCCCAAAAATTTAGACAAGCACCATTTTTTTTTTACAAACACTAAGAAACCGGAATAGCCAACCCCAACTCCTATTTTCCATTCGATTTCAGACAGGAAAAAACTGCGCGAAGTTTTTATCTTAGCTGCAGTTAAACGAAAATTGGCAGGAGACAAAAAGGGCACAGATTGATTTCTGAACTAGAGGTGGAAATGAAGACACGTAAAAAATCAGCTGCTGTATTTCCACACTCGAATTCCTTTTCATCGATACAACACTGTGCGCAAGAACTTGATTTTCCCCACTTACTTCTTCTGCGCATGTGCCATACTAACAGGAAGAGATACGACAAGGCAAAATGATTGGTGAAGCCTCGAGTTTCCTGCACAGCAACAGACGCATGCGTACTGGTTGCCGGGCGGCTTCCGGGGGACTCTTTGTGCGCGTGCGCTTGCGCCGCAGAACCATTTCCGCCCCCTCCCTGCGCACGTCGTAGCCGTTTTCTGAGGGAGACGGAGAGGAAGGCGGCTGCCATTTTGTCCCTTGCAGTTGGGCCTCACCCTCTGTGAGGCAGAGCGAGGGGAGAGTAGCGTTGTTGCTGTTGGAGGCGAGAGAGTACCGCGCGTGTTTCAGCTGGTGTAGCCGGGCGGGCCGCGACGAGGCGCGCTTGCGGACGTGGCGAGGCCGTACGGAAGAGGCCGCGCCGTTGGGTCTGGCGAGTTTTCCCGCAGCAGCAAAAGCAAAGCGGTTGCGCTGTTTCCTTCCCTCCGTTGAGGGAAGTCGCAGAGCCAGGGCGCTCTCCGGGTCCTTTCGCCCCACACAGGCCTGGTTAGTAGCGCTAAAGGGTGGTCGTGTGTGTGTATGTGTGTACACACGTGCGCGCGCGCGCACGCGTGTTTGTGTGTTGTTCTCGGTAGTGAGTTTCTTAAGCCGCAGAAACACCTCCTGCCCCTCACTGTGCTTCTCTCCCTTGTGGTAAAAGGGGTCGAGCGATACCCCGGTGGGTGATAACTTAAAGGTATTCAGTGGTGCGCGGGCAGCCGGTGACGGGGCGAGCCTGGTGGCTGCTTGTAGGGGGAGGCCGCGCCTATGTCTTCCCCACTCCGGCGTAGTAGGTGCGGTGACAAAATGCTGCCTTCAAACGGACACAGTTCTTTTTGTGGACGGAAATCATTCCGGCGTGGGGACCAATTACAGCTCTGACTTAGGAGTGGCTGATCCGGTTGGTGATTCCAGTTCATACCCGGTGACGGGCATCATGGCTTTTGGTTTTTCTTTTTTGTCCTCCTAGCCACAGAATTTATTGTTCTCCCACGCGTACTCGGATGGTTGGTTAATAGCAATCCCTTGGAACCCACTGGACCTTTCTGCCGCTGGCATCCCTGGGAGTGCATTGGAATGTACAGGAACTGGTATGGGAGAACCACGGAGGACTAAGGAGATGCCGACCGCATTCACAGCTTGTTTTAAGAAATGGTTCTTGATGGCTGGCCAAGAAATGTTCTGTGGTGGTGTGATTTCGCCTAGCCAGCATTTACGCGGAGAAAAAGGAAGAATGCTAGTTGCTCAGGATGACATGCCTTCTCTGCACTTCACATACTCTGTACAAAGTATATTTTTGCTCTGTCAGGATGTCCCTGAGTTCTATCATGCACCAATCCCTGGGAAGGAATAGCCTAGACACTACAGTACTCCAGTAACATCATTATCATGAACAGTTAAGGATAGGAGTTAGAAGTGCCTGTTTTAGTAGGAATCTATATTCTTGTTTTGTGTTAGCTTCTTTCTCAACAAGGACTGCACAGGAGTAAAGTACTTACGGGTTTTTTTTTAATTGGGAATAACTATTTTGCGGATATACAAAACACTTTGCAGCTTCTCCATTTCCCCTAGTTGTTTTTTGATCTAAATTCTATTTACTCATCTAAATCTTTATATGCCTTGTCCACACCTGATAACTAAGAGTTGCTACAGTAAATTGTTAATATTTGTTTCATTTTTTGTTATTGTTGGGGGATGGGGCTCTAGAAGTAAAAGCTTGCCTTGCGGTGAAGACTTGTCTACTTGCTTTGGAGGTCTCTGCTGGGACTGAAAAAGAATTTATAGTTGTCTTTAAAAAAAACCCCGCAAAAACATGGTGGATTTTATCCATGGTGTTGGTGTAAGATCTTGAGTTACCTAGGAGTATTTAGAACAGTTTTAGCTGGTTTTCTAGCATTGTTAGAGTGCTTTTACACTGATGCCCTGCTTGCAAGGACATCTGGTTGGCCACTGTGAGAACAGGATTCTGGACTAGATGGGCCACTGGCCTGATTCAGTAGGCTATAATGTTCTTGTTCTTGCTTCCCAACAATAACAACATATAAGAAGAATGTTTGATATTAGCCTTTTGAGTAATGAGATGTTATTAATCCCTATTGACTAGAATACTGCCATTGATTTCAGTATGATATTGATAGTGCTTTTAGAGACCTATTCAGACTTCTCAAAAAGCCCTTGTTAGAAACTTCCAGATTGGTGGTCTATGATCTTTGCAGAGGGGGTGAAATAAAGTAGGCCTTTTCTATGTACTTTACTGAAATCAAGTTTAAAGTAAATAAGATTTCATAGTTTGCTTTCTTGGTCATGTGGATCAGTTATAGATGAATAGGGTTCTTGCACCGTTCCTATATATATGCTAGATAATTCAGACATTTATTTTTGAGTAGGTTTCATTGAACTCAGTTGAACCTCCGGTTTTGGGCTACCCAGTTTCTGTTGCTTCATATTTATGTATTTGATGGAATTTGTGAAAAGATTGGCTTGGAAAGCGCCGTGAAAATGTTTTATGAATGTAAGTCAGTATATTTGAGTGCCTTAACTTTCGTGATGTTCTAGTGCTCTAAAGAGATATCACAGAATATATTGTATTCTGGATTTGTGGTTGAATGACAAGCATTCGTGGTGAAATTGGAATGGGCATAAGCAGTATATTTTCCCGAATTTACTTAATTTTTGGGTTTTTCTTCCAATATGGTCATCTTTACAACAACGAATTAAACTACAGGCGAACATCTTGCCACCCTCTTCTGAAAAGAATTTAAGAACAACTGCCGACTCCTATTTTTGTGTGGGACTTCAGTTTTCTATAACTACAGGTAGTGAAATGTTTGGGTTCTTCCACCCAACTGTCTGTGGATCTTTTGAAGACTGATTTCAAACTATTTTCTTCACTTGTTGGAATCTGTTTTAAATGGATACACTGGCATAAACATTGTTCAGTTGAGATTGGTTATTTTTGATTTTTGTGCCACTCTGGACTGGGAAATAATTTTAACACAAGAATACCAATCTTGATTTCTTACTAATGTTGACCATGATTATGAATATACCACAGTAACACAGCATAGTATGTAAACCTGCTTCTTGACCATTAATAATGTTTCATTTTCTTTCCACAGTTAAATTGATTTCACAGACTTTATCAGGTCTTCTAGAGTGGGGGAAAAAAAAGGTAAGCTTCAAAGCTTAATGCTTCTTTTGTCTGATCTGAGATGATGGTTTTTTCTCCCAGACTTGTGACTGGAAAAGATGTGCATTTCAATATCCTGATCATGGGGCAAGGATGACTGAAATTTGATTCATTATGAGGTGGGCAGTTCTACTGATAGAACATAAATGTCTGAAAATCTAAGATTTCTGTGTAAGTTGCTAGAGAGTTGTGAGACATTTTTGATCACAGATCTTTCTTGACTTTTGCTGTTGCATGGCAAGAACATGGGACCACAGTTGTCTAGAATATATTCTGTGAAAGGTTTGCTATGTCTTATTATAGATTGTAAGAAGAGTGATGTTTGATATTGTTGCTTTTAAAATGGGGAATGCTGTTGGAACAGTGCGGAATTTCAGATTGAATAGTGTATAAACTTTCACACTAAAATAGGTTTCTTATTCCAGATGAAGGAATTATTTTTTATTTTGTAGTGCTTAACTTTCCCAGTGTACTAAAGGCTTGCTATCACATATACCTTTTTGTCTACAGGTGATTATTGCTGTGGGCTGAGCTCAGAATGGCGGTAGTCATCCGTTTACAGGGGCTTCCTGTTGTTGCGGGTTCTGCAGATATTCGCCGCTTCTTCTCAGGATTGAATATTCCTGATGGAGGTGTACATATCATTGGAGGAGAAAAGGGGGAAGCTTTCATTATATTTGCAACAGATGAAGATGCACGACAAGCAATGAGCTATTCTGGAGGATTTATCAAGGATTCACGTATAGAGTTCTTTCTTAGCAGCAAGACAGAAATGCAGACTATAATAGAAATTAGTAGGAGAAGACGAGCAGGTTCCATTAACTCAGGCGCATCTGGAATTGGCAATCTTTCAAATTTAGTTGCAGCCATTAATAAAGGAATGTATCAATCTGGCTGTAGTTCCATGGATCCGTTGGGGAATGAGTTCCGTTCAAATGGATCTCGAAACAGTGATACAGATATGTTGGAACCAAACTATAATCAGCCTAAGAAAGAGCCATTTCCAAGTGTGTACCTATTTATACGTGGTATGCCTTATTCTGCAACAGAAGATGATGTACGCAATTTCTTCTCTGGATTGCAAGTGGAGGGAGTAGCCATGAGAAAAGTTAATGGTAAAAATAATGGAGACGCCGTGGTAAAATTTGCAACATTAAGCGATGCCACAGAAGGGCTTCAACGTGATCGAGAGTATATGGGTTCAAGATTTATTATTGTACGAACCTCTGGTAAAGGAACATGGATTAAGTTTGGTGGAAAGATTGGCAGTCCTGTCAATACCAAACATTTCAGTTATCATTTGAATGAGGAAGCATTTTCTTCAAGCAGGGAGCATTCACGAAGAGAGCCAGACTATTTGTCCTCAAGAAAACGCACCTGTTCAAGGTCTCCAGAGAGGGTTATGGCACACACTCGTTCAAGGTCTCCTGCAGGGAGGATTACATCACGTACCCATTCAAGGTCTCCTGTGGGGAAGGGCTTGTCACGTGCCCATTCAAGGTCTCCAGGGAGGGTTAAGGCACACCAGCGGTCAAGGTCACCACGGAGGGTAAGGACACGCACCCGGTCAAGGTCACCACGGAGGGTAAGGACACACACCCGGTCAAGGTCACCACCACGGAGGGTTGTGGCACGCACCCGGTCAAGGTCACCACCACGGAGGGTTGTGGCACGCACCCGGTCAAGGTCTCCACAACAGAGGTTTACGACACAGTCTCGTCCTCAACACAGAGAATATTATATACTCATTAAAAATCTCCAACCTACTGTTGAGAAGAAAGATTTGATAAAGTTCTTTGGGCATCCAGGTGTGACTGCCAGTCCTATTATATTTTTAAAGCCAGAAGGCGATGCAAAGACGAAAGATGCAATTCTGCTGTGTGACTCATTGAAGGTGTATGAGTTTGTATTGACCTTTCACAAGGATAAACTGCTTGGCCAGCCGATTTTAATCTTTCCCATTTCAAAAGAAAAGCTGTTGTTCTTAACTGGATCTTCTGAAGCAAAAGTACCACCAGAGAGACAGCACCATGCAAATGAAAGAAGTGATAGAGATGAATATTCTGGCTTAAAGACCTGCGTATATGTGAGAAACTTTCCATTTGATGTGACAAATGTTGAAGTACAGAAGTTCTTTGCAGGATTTAATATTGATAACAGTGACATTTATTTGCTTTATGATGACAAAGGAATTGGACTTGGGGAAGCATTGGTCAACTTCAGAACTGAAGAACAAGCCCGCAAAGCTGAAAGCTTAAATCGCCGGCGGTTTTTGGGAACAGAGGTACTCCTAAGATGCATTTCTGAGGAACAAATGCAAGAGTTTGGTATTAATATTTCATCAACATCAAATGAAAAGATACAGGATAATCTCCATACATATGAAAGAAGTGAACATTTTTACCCCAGTGGTTCACAAGGATCCTCTTTGCATGGGAACTTAAAGCACCTGTCTAATTATAGACACCCGTCTGATGATTTTATCGGCTCATCTGATCTTTTTAGAGGGCCTCCTGGTGACGGCATTCCTGGAAGTTTTCAAGAAGGGAACTTTAGGCCTGACTATAATTCTAGTGGTGCCTCAGGTCGTGTCACATTGATTAAATTAAAGAATTTACCGTTTCAGGCTTCTCCTAATGAAATTCTGGATTTCTTCCACGGTTATAAAATCATACCAGAATCTCTTTCTATTCTGCGCAATGAATATGGAATGTCTTCTGGTGAAGCTATTCTTGCCATGATGAATTATAATGAGGCAGTGGCTGCTATTAATGAATTAAATGACAGGCCAATTGGCAACCGCAAAGTTAGTTTAACTTTTGGGTAGATGTGAAAATGCCTAGGAGGCAAAGTGAAGATGTTTGCAGTATGAATAGAATAAAACTAGATTTGTGTTTTTGTTATTTGGAAAGTGATGACAAAACATCCATCTATTTGTAAATAGTTAATTGCTTTAAATGAAAGCTGTTTGATGCAGTGCAGTTGCATCTGTTAGAAAGCATAGGTTGTTAGTTACTCTTGAATATAAATAATAAGTTGAATGCAAGTTTTGGATTCTTGTCTGTAACATTCAATGGCATATTGAATGTTTTTTTATTAATTTCAGCTTAGCATTTCTTTTAAAATAAATGCACCTAAATGAAATATGTGGATGGTTAATTTGTATATTGCTTTTTTACACCCATTAGTGTATGACAGCCCTAATAAGAACCAGTCTTGTAGTTTGGCAGTGTCTTCCTCTATAAATTGTACAAATTACAGGCTATACAGGAAATATATTGGTACTATAGTTGAATCTCTTGAAGTTCTAGGGCTATTGGTTAAACAACCCAAGATGCATATTTTCATGTCCACTTGGCTTCCCAAATTTTTGAATAATGGTACAGTGGTACCTCGGGTTACATACGCTTCAGGTTGCAGACTCCGCTAACCCAGAAATATTACCTCGGGTTAAGAACTTTGTTTCGAGGTTCTAGCAGGGGAGCGCAGCTATCGTACGCTGTGGGTAAAACCTCAGCGCCTAGGACTTGCCGATCGCATGGTTGGCGGTTCAAATCCCCGCGGCGGGGTGCGCTCCTGTCGTTGGGTCCCAGCGCCTGCCAACCTAGCAGTTCGAAAGCACCTCCGGGTGCAAGTAGATAAATAGGGACTGCTTACCAGCGGGAAGGTAAACGGCGTTCCGTGTGCTGCGCTGGCTCGCCAGATGCAGCTTCTCACGCTGGCCACGTGACCCGGAAGTGTCTGCAGACAGCGCTGGCTCCCGCCTCTAGAGTGAGATGAACGCACAACCCTAGAGTCTGGCAAGACTGGCCCGTACGGGCAGGGGTACCTTTACCCTTTTAAGAACTTTGCTTCAGGATGAGAACAGAAATCGTGCTCTGGGGGCAGCGGGAGGCCCCATTAGCTAAAGTGGTGCTTCAGGCTAAGAACAGTTTCAGGTTAAGAACGGACCTCCGGAATGAATTAAGTTCTTAAACTGAGGTACCACTGTAATTGGGTGTCCTCATACTACTGATTTATGGAGTGTTTTTTAAAAAAAAAATCCAGGGAAGAAGAAACGGTCTGTTGAATGAAAAGGCTGCTTGGATGAATATGTAAAAGCAAGAGTTTAAAGGGAAGTTGTATTATCCCCAAACTTCAACTCCCATGATGTTGGTATCAGCGAGCTTCCTGATTGATCTTTTTGAAAAAAGGAAATGTAGCCATTTTCTATTCCATATCTCTCTGCACAACACTTTTGTTTGGGTCTTCTTCAAACTGTAGTCTTTTGTGATATTTAGCGCAGACTACTTTCAACTGCATACCTACAATGAAAATTGAGGAAGCACTACTAGATGGAGTTTTTCAAGGTTATAATGCATTTTCAATATTAAAATGCAGGGGTCATCAATCTGACATTTGCAAAGGATTTTGTGTGTGTCTCCAGGCAAGTGCTCCCCAGAGTCTTAGCTTTCATTTTCAGAAAAAAAGCAGGTCTCTAGCCCTCTCAGAAAGAAAGTTATGTGGCAGAATGTACAGTACCTTCTAAATTACCTTGAGGTAATTTTAGTATTACCTCAAGGTAATTTACCTCTGTTTTAATATTTAAACTTTTTATCTTTTAAAGTATGGTTGTGAATTTTCCTTGATTTCCTCATTTTATATTTTTGTAAACCACTTTGAGATTTGTTTTTTAATCAAGCAGTGTATAAATTGTATGAAATAAATAAGTGTTTTCTGTGAGATGAGAGTGAGTGTGGTGTGGCCACCTTGTATAGTTTTCTTGGTATTGAGCTGTGCTCCCTGTTATTAGACAGCCACAGCATCAGTGTATATTCAGTATTGTGGTGATCTTCACAATCAGGACCAGCAGGGCATAGCTGACTTCTTGTGGTAAGCCTAAGGTTGATGGGGTTTCTAGTCTAATTTTGTGTTATGCCATGTCCCCAATGGCAGCCATTTTGTGACTGGTTCCCACAGCACACTCTCAAAATTCAAAATGTGCTCACTGGTACGAAAAGCTTGGCAAACCTCTGGCAAATTGCTATTGCGATGGTTTATTCCTCTCCTTGGATATTTGCCAGTTTCAGCACCATTTGTGATGTTGTATTGACTAGCCGGTAGCAAATCCCCATTTACTTTGTAAAACCGGTGGGACGCTTAACTCCTATCAGCCTCAGCCTGTATGGCTAAAGTTCAGGATTGGTTGTAGTTCAACATCATCTAGAAGGCCAGATTTCCATTCTCTGCTTTTTTATATTTCATGCCATTGTTTTGGTTTGTTTTTCTTTAGACAACCATTTTCTTCAGACAACCCATCTTATTTCACATTGAAGCCACCATGGGGATGGATGCTTGAAAAGCACATACAAAGTTTGACAGTATTCAACATTTGGGGCCAGAGGACACCTTTAAATTTTTACCTAGTAAGAGATTTTTTAAAAACTAGTCTAACACACAAACTATTAAAGTATATTGGTTGTGGCTATGTTAATCTAAATTCCCCTTGGGCTATCAGGAACAGTACCCCCAGAATGCCTAGGCTGGGCGGCTACTAATGGAACAGGTATAATCTATAATCTCATAGTTCTAACATGCAGATTCCAATTTCATGCATGTATTAGGTTTGATTACATTACATCTAAAAAAGCAGTGTTTGGAAGTTTGAACTATGAGAGTGTTAGCCTTTCCATCAGGTTAAGGACAATTTGGAGCAGAAGCCTTACTCGTGGGGTCCAACTGACCCCTGCAGTGCTTTGTAGGTGTGTGTGTGTGTGTATAAGTAAAACTTGAACTTTTCTCTATTGTGTTTCATTAAGCTGGAAAAGAATAGAACCTAATTAATTTTACTTACCCATTCAGTAAGTGCAAAATAGACTTGATAACTTCACTTAGTGTGGGGGTTTTGTTTTAAATTGAAAGGGGTAGGGGGAAGATAGATCACTTCCAAGACAACTGAACACATTAACTGTTGAGGATGGAGTATAAATTGCTTCGTTTGTTCAAAAAATATTTTTAATGGTTGTTAAGGGTGTACAGCAACCCCAGTGGTTTTGGAGGGTTAACCATCGATCATCCCTACACTCCACTGTAGTACACTGCATAACCATAGTACGCTACGAATGAGTGAGAGGTGAGTATTGCTGCTTGGTTGTCCTGCATATGACTGAGATGGTTGTAATGTTCACTATGGTTCCTTTACAGGCGAGTTTTACATTTGTCACATTCAGAAAAGTCTTCCAGCTTTTTACCCCCTTAATTGTATCATTCCAAGTCCATCTCTGTTCTGCAGGCCACAGTTAAGAATTACTGACAGAAGAAAAATGCTATTTTGTGAAAAATACAAGTATTTATTTATTGTAATTATTCCCAGTGGCTTAGATAATGCCATAATATAGTTGTATTTAAAGTCAATGACAGAACTGAAATTCATGCAGAAAGACTAGACTTTATAATACTGATAATAAAAAATGAATGTAGAAATGCTGCTATGAAGAAAAGCCGGCAGGTGTGGGGAAATTTTGGCCTTTGAGACATTGCTGAACTGCAGTTCCCACCAGCCCTAGCAAACATAGCCAGTAGAAGCAACATTTGGAAGGCCAAGGTTCCTCACATCTGAAATAAAAAGAAAATAAATCACCCCAAATAATCAGCTGCCTTGCATTTTGTATCCCTATAGGAATTACAAGGAAAATAAAATTAAATGTAAATTAGAAGTTCTGTAATACTGAAGGCACTTTCACAAAGAATACTGAAGCAGCTTAACTGCTGCATTGATGCAGATTTTATGCCGTCATCTGCATTGATGCAGCAATAACTAAGTTAAAGATTATGGGGCAGGATGTTAGGAAAAACCTCAAGTAAGAATAGGCACATAAACCTGTATGCTAGCCACCCAATTTAACACTCCATGAATATGGTAAGTCGGAGAATGAAAATTTTGGAATGTTTTGTGACACCTTTATGAGAACACTAGATTACAAAGTGAATGAACAAAGCAGTGCTGTCTATTTCCACCAGCTGCTTAATTTGCTTCCATGCTTTGGGAAACAGAAGATTAACTTGGTTGCTAGGGATTGGGGCTATCTTTTCTATGAAGGTAGTTTATGAAGTCAAAATGTATTCTGAAATAGAATTGAAAGGAACCCTGAGGATCATCTAGTCCAACCCCTGGCAGTACAGGAATATGCAGCTTTCCCATATGGGGATAGAACCTGCAACTTCGGTGTTATGAGCACCATGCTCTAACCAACTCAGCTATCCAGGTCTTCCATAATTATGGAACTCTGAATCCCTTGAAACAACTAAACTCACTGACACAACTTTAATATTGCTGAATCTACTTTTAGTGGACCATTAAATTTCATACCATTAAAAAATCATAATTGTCAGGTAACAGTGTTCAGTTCTTTCTTTACTGTAGTTTAAAGTCTTAATTGTGTCCATCACCGAGCAGCAACACAATGAAAAATAACAATTTGCAGGGGAAGCGCTTTCTAGTCTCAAAGGTGCTCTCTTCCTTGGTGGTTTTAATGCTAATCTTCATATTCATCCTCATTGTCATACTCTTCATCTTCCTCCTCCTTTTTCAATGGATTTCTGGAAATCTGCTACACAGAATATGACAAATCAGAATTTTTAAAATTGCAACCAAAAAAAGCATTAGTCAATGAAGTCAATCTGCATTAAAAAATATATTCAGTATCTTGTTTTTTTAAAAAAAATATTTTTGTATACAGTATGGGTGTATGGTTGGCAGGCGATCATATAAGGCTCAAACAGGTTCCAGTAGGTGTGGCGTAACATGCAGGTGAGCTTTCCTGTAAAATTCTAACTGAGGGCAGGCCAACTTTTACCCTGCAGGCCGCACACTGCCTTGGCACGCATGTGTGTGGGGTGGGAGCGAGCTTCATATTTGACTCCCCCCGCCAGCTTCCATGCTGCTTTCCCAAAGCCGGGTAAGTGAGACACTGGCCTTTGGGAAGGTGGTGTGAGAGGTGGGTGAGTGGTGTCAAAAGTTGCTGGTCTAACCAGCTCCTCCTCCCTTGCCTGCCCTGCTTTGTTGTAGCACCATAGACCTTTGGTTGAACAAATGTCAGCACCAGGAATTGCTTGCATAGTGAGTAAAAGTAGCAGTGACAAAAGTTCAGGAGGGAAGGAAGGAAGGAAGGTCTTCCTACTCTGAGAAGAGAATATGTTGATGGAAATCAAAAAGGGAGGAAATTTAATTCATTAATTTAATAATATTTCATGGAATGTAGCTAAAGGAAAGCATTCAAGCTTTCTAACCAACCTGAACTATTCCAGGACAAGATTTGGATGAAGCAGTCCTCTGGAGGGGAGACTCTGAATTTGCACGGACAATATCCAAACGAGACTGATGTTCTGTTTGATAAAGTGAACTCCGAAACATCTGTTAAATAAATGTTGGTGTTCAGAATACACAGGAGGCCAGGGGTTTTCAAATCTACCTGCTGTGAACCTTTTCTATATCAGTTTGTTACCCAAGGAAACACACTGTGCATGTCTGGCCCACAGCCTCAGCACCTTGCAAATGATTCTGAAGTGTGTTGTCTAAGAGTGTACATAGTTCATATGGGACACTGGCCAGTCCTGTTAAGCTTCACAGTTTGTCCAATTATAAAGCTCCTCAAGAACTAGGTAAGATGCAGCATGGGTACCTAGAGCAGAGATCTGGCAGACAAAATTTTTCTGCCCTCAGCAAGATACTGATTGTGGCAGCAGCAATTTTTATTTATTTTAAAAAAAGAAAGATTCAGCATGTGGGAGGCAGTGGATGGTGCCCAGTGCCCTTATGGGGATGCAGATTACTCCTCATCATTTAATGAGCAAAGGGTAATAAGCCCTCTCCTCACCTCATCTGCATGAATTAGTGGCTGTTTGTATGTGCAAGAGCCAAACTCACATGCAGCTTCCAGAGGGTTGGCCAAGGATTAATGCAACTTGGAGCAAAAAAATGGTTAGCCTGCCCTGCTATATAGAGCCCAGAGGGTTTTTCTAGCATACATTCAAACTAGAAAACAGGTGTGCTACTGCCTTATGGCCAACAGATACTGGCATAAATTCTAGTAGTTTACTTGCTGGAGTGGATGTCTGAGGCAAGGTTGCGGGGATAAAATACAGCTAAATGGTATTTGCCTTTACGGCTCCAAACTTGTCTTAATTTCTTTTTCTTTTTTTAAACTATGCCTTACCATGAAGTGAAATGGTAGCCTAAGGGAGAATAGACCAAGCCTTGCAGCTGATCACTACAGGGGCTTTAGTAAATATTCTACCTTAATAAGTTAAGATCTAAAATTGCTCTTAAATCTTGTCACTAGCACAGGCTTCATTTAGTTCATTACGGCTGAATACATTGTTAAGGACTTTCAGTTATCTGAAGTTCACTGAAGAGTTGCCAATGGCATGAGGACTAGATTTTTATTTATTTATTTATTTATTTAATGAAAGTTATACACTGCTTGATTGTAAAAAAAAACACCTCAAAACGGTTTACAAAAGATAAAACCGTGAAATCACGAAAAAATTACCCTACTTTAAAACATTAAAATGCTAAAACACATTAAAACTTTTTAAGCCTTTGGGCAAGCCTGTCTAAACAGGAATGTTTTTAGCAGGCGCCGAAAAGAGTACAGTGAAGGCGCTTGCTTGATCTCAATAGGCAGGGAGTTCCAAAATGTAGCTGCTGCCACACTATGTGCCAATTCCACTGATCTAAGGGGTCAAATGGGTGCATATTGGGTAAGGTGCTCATAGTTAAAGTGGTCCACAGATATGCCTCAATAACATTAAATATTGTGTAAATTGTGTAGGGAAAACAAAAACCAGCAACCCTGCACAGCAGTACATTAGAAGTTCATCATGTTTCTTACCTCTAGGTCTTCATTCTCATCAATATTTTGTATAGTTTGGTAGGCAGCAGTGTAAATTTCTAAGGCTTTCCCATGGAATAGCATTTCAATTGTTACAAATTCTGAAAAGATATTCTAAAAACAAATGAAGGGAGAAAGTGTTACAGTAACTGCTCTATATTTATAATAAAGGCAGACTAACTGGGCTGTCACTGTATGAAGACTGGTAGCCTGATAAAGTCTGTATAAAAAGAATATGGATCATTACATAGCAGCCCTTACTGGCAGCCTTTCATAGGCCGAGGCTTTTCTTGTATTGGCCTATATGAGGTCAACGAAGTCCCAGCTCACTTCTGCATACAGCCAAGTACTTGGTCTTTCTCTAAATACTTTTCCTTCACCCCGCCCCCTGCCATTCTGGCTAGAAGCCTTCCACTGTTTTAGCATTTCCTACCTGAACCTAACTGCACTTCCCCTTCTGTTGCTCAGGGAGCTGCTGCATGGTAAGAATTACTTTCCTGTTTAATCACCCACAAAGTTCCTTGTTCCTTACAATTAATAAACAGCATGTTAGTGCTAGGAACCTGACCGAATTCTTAACTAAACAAGAAGTACACTGCTCTGGCCCCTCGATTTTTTAAGTTCTGCACAAGACTGGAACAGCTTTTCCTATTTTTATAACAAGTAGAAACTAGCTGTGAGTGGGCTGTGACACTACACTGCAGCATGTATTATCTAAAAATACAATTTTTACAGTTTTTACACTTTCCTTTAGCATTCTTGTACAAGCTGACACCTCATTTCCCCCACCAACTGGGGCAAACTAGTACCCCACTGGGGTTCCTGTGAATTCCAGCAGCTGCTCGAAATATTTCTTAAATTTAAAATTAGCCAATATGAGCTACTTCATAGTTCTCCACAGTTATGGGGTCAGTCCTGTGATGTTTCATCATCATTTCCATTTCTGAAACTAAACAATCAGAGGTCTCAATTTATCCCTATTGAAATGAATGGGAAAGTAAATCTGCCAAAGGCCTAAGCTAAACGAGTCCATTCTATCCTCAGCAATATCTCAAAATTGGGTAGTTGAAAAAAGTTAGCATTTTGCTTGTACTGTAATTCCATTTTTTGTAAGTATACCACTTCAAGAGCAGTGGAGTGGATTTTCTGTTTAGTTTATTTTGTCTGTACATTCCTCTGTGTGCAAGCACACACAAAACCCTTAAAAAAGCACCACAGCAGCCTACTGAACCCTGGAGTAAATTTTACCCTAGGGAGTTAATTCTGATTCAGATTGGCATTATCTTGACACAGGAGTAAAGACTCTTATAAGTGCAAACTTGCAACACTAGTTTCTTATTTGTAATGGGTTGTCTTCAACATTGTGCAAGCAGACTTGTGGAACGGGACTTACCCTTCTCTTCCCCCCCTGCAGCCCCCAAACCTGCTCCTGAGGATATGCTATATTCCTCCTGTTATATACTATCTGTTATATACTATCTAGGCATTTTTGGGCTTCTTTTTTGTACTGCTTTCTTCTCTAGTGCTATCTTCCTTCTACTTGGTGGTTTATAGCTTTGCTCCAATTGTGTCACAAAAGAAATAATGCTCTCTGTACATTTTTTTTAAGGGAACAACATGGGGTGCAATGTACCCCAATAGTTTGTGTGCTTTATTGATATACCAATGAAAACTTTAAAAGGAGATATAAAGTAAATTTTATTATGTGAAACAAGTCATTTTGAAATTATAATTGCATTTATTTCTAGCTAGGACAAGGGGACCCATTGGTCCCCAATAGCAGATTAATGTTTGTTAAAATAAATGGTGAAGGAATATTAAATAGACGCTCTAAATGGCTGTTTCCATGAGCCATTTTTTAGTTTGTTGATTTATATTAGAGTATACACACTCACTCACACACCTTTATATCTCTTATTTTTTGTTTTTCAAAGTTGTCAATGGTTTCTTCCAAGTACCGACTTGTCCGCGTGGCATCCAATGAAGCTCTTTGTAATTCACTTTCAGCCTTTAAATATAAATGATAAATAGATGTTATTCCTATAATTTTGAACAGACACTATTAATTAGAATGCCCTGGAAATATGAACCACTATAGTGGTAGCTCTCAGAACAAAGCTATTAATCTGTGCACCACCGTATTTCATAAGAAGAGCTCCCCTGGATCAGAGCAAAGCCCATCTAGTCCAGTCTCCTGTTCTCTCAGTGACCAACCAATTGCCCATTGAAGGCCTGCAAAGAGGATATGAGCAGGACAGCAGTCTTTGTACTTGGGCTCCCTAGCAACTGGTACTCAGAGAAATACTACCTCCGATACTGGACATCACAGCTAGCCTTATCCTCCATGAATTTGTGTAAGCCCCTTGTAAAGCTGGCTGGGTTGGTGGCTGTTGCAACAGCTTGTGATAGCAAATTCCATGGTTTAATTATGTGCTGTATAAAGAAATACTTCCCATTGTTTGTCTTTAATCTTCCTCCATTCAGCTTTATTGGATGACCCTGGGTTCTAGTACTGAGAGGAGAAAACCATCTCCATCTACTTTTTCCACATCATCATCATCATCATCATCATCATCATCATCATCATCTCTATTTATATACCTCATGCATGACTGTATAGACATTGGTCATGCCAATTCACTGCCTTAATTTTCTTCATTCTAAAGACGCACATTCGCAACCTTTCCTCATAGGGAGTTATTTCAGCCCAATGACTATTTGGCTTAGCTTTTCTGAACTTTTAAGGCTCTAAAATACCCTAATTGAGAGGAGGTGATCAGAACTGTATACATGATCCCCAAGTGCAGTTGCACCATATATTTGTTTAATGTCCTGATATTAGCAGTTTTATTTTCAAACCCTTTCCTAATGATCCCTAACAGGAAACTCGCCCTTTTCACAGTTCTGAGTTATCAAAGATCTCTTTATTGGCCAGTAACTGTCAGTTCAGACCTCCAAAGCAGATAATGCGTTACACTGCATCACAGCTACCATTTCCATGGTTTGGAAAATAACTGGTCTTATGGCTCACATACAAAAATGCTGCTAATACCAATAAAGGATTATTATTATTTTTTAAATTGCTTTAAGATGATCATAAACTCTGGGTGGAATACAATTTGGGGTTACTGTGCTGATGGAAGACATCCAACAATTGGAACAGTTAAGCAGTTTGAAATCATTTCTCTTTACAGCCCCTGCAAATCTCCAGAGGCTTGGAGTCTGAAGGAGATTTTGTGGGACAAAAGGGGGAGGAGGAATCTCCAGAAATCGATTTCCTCCCCTTCTGATGGATGTCTTTCATCAGTGGAATAACACCAACTGAAGTCTGCCCTCTATGTAAGGCAATAGTGTGGAAAATGCTGTAGCGATCCAAGTAATGATAAAGGTTTCTGTTGAGTGAATGAACAACTTCAAAAAGCACCTAACCAAGTCAGAACTGAATTTCAGGCCACTTTAACCTGGTACTGTCTCAAAGACCTTTGCTACACTACTGTCTCCTGCACCAGAAAGGAAGTTAAAGTCTCTTACAATTGAATTTATAGCATTTTTGCCTTTCTCCCAAGAATTTTTTGAAGCCAAAACAAGCTGACCACCACAGGCGTGTATTTTTTTAAGCAAATAAGTAATAACATTACATTACTTCTTCATCTACTTTTCCAAGCTGCTGTTTTACCAGAAAAGAACATGATTTGTCAAACTCAGAGCCTTGGAGCAGCTGGTGACATCTGGTGGTTATTGGCTTCACCATAATGATTGTAAAAAAGATACAGTAACTTGTACAGCTGGGATGCTGATATACAAATAACTGATGAAACATAATTAACAATAGTAGAATTTAATCTGATATTTCATCCAAAAAAGAAGACCTACCTGTGACTGAAGTTTGCAGTAAATGAAATATTTTAAGTTATGGAAAGTGCTAACACACTGGTATTCTACAGACATAAAAGCATATCTATATACAAATAACTCAGTTGGCTCCCAGTGTCTCTTAGGCATTCAAATGAATTTCTGATAGATTTTAAAAAAGAAAATCTAGAACCTATAACAAAACAGGGAACTAAGAAAGAAGACTGTTTTCCTCTCAGGAGCTTTATTGGTAGACAACTCCTTTTTAATACAGTGGTATCTCGGGTTACATATGCTTCAGGTTACATACGCTTCAGGTTACAGACTCCGCTAATCCAGAAATAGTACCTTGGGTTAAGAACTTTGCTTCAGTATGAGAACAGAAATTGTGCTCTGGCGGTGCGGCGGCAGCAGGAGGACCCATTAACTAAAGTGGTGCTTCAGTTTAAGAACAGTTTCAGGTTAAGAACAGACCTCCGGAACGAATTAAGTACTTAACCCGAGGTACCACTGTAATGTTATCTTCTGATGTTGCTATCAATCAGCCAGAATACTTTAGGGCAGAGGTTTTCAACCTTTTTGAGTCCACGGCTCCCTTGACCAACTACATTCTTTCTGCAACTTCCCTGTGGGGCCCAGGAGCACAGTTATGTCACCCCTTGCCTGCAGAGCTGGCAGCCTCTCACCCTTTTCCAAACACCCGCCCTTGCAGGGTGTTCCCTCAGCTTCCTCCTCTCCTCTCCCCTCTTATTGGAAGCCCTCCGGGCAGTCAGTGTTGCCACCCCTGGTCTCTAAACTGCACTCCCCTGCCCCAAAGACAGCTGCCTCCTCACACTGCCTCACAGGGGCTGGGAAAAGGATGTCCCCAATCTTAGTGGCCCAATGGAGACTGGTCAAAGGTAAATATGAGGCCAGCACCTTATCTTAGGAGGCAGCAGTGGACGCTGCTGGGCCTGCATGGCAGAAGGGCTCTCCTTCAGCACCGGTCACTCAGCTCCCAGGCAGGCCATGCACACAGCAAGCGCAAGAAAGGCCAGTGCCAGCCTGCCCAGTCTTCCACTTGTCTGCCCATTCCCAACAGCAGGGACTGACGGACTGGCTGGCTCAGCTCCCTTGCTTACTCCAAGGCTGCCTCAGTTCCTGCCAACCAGCACCCCTGGCCAGCCCCAGAAACACTATTCGCTTGGGGAGTTTGTAGCCGGGGCCACTGCAACAAACAGCTGTGCAAGCCTTTAGGAAGCAGAGATGTGAGAGGGCATCAGAGAACGAGGGAAGGAAAGAAGGCAGAGGCCAGCGTTGCCTGCCACACCCCTGACCATCATGCATGGCACACTGGTTGAAAACCACTGCTTTAGGGACATACTAGGTGGAAGAAACTCCACTGGAGAGGCATATCTCACACACACATAAATTTTGCAACAGTCATCTAGTAAAGCGTATATTTGAAAGCTGCTGAACACTTGTTTGCAAAGGATACAATAATGTGCCGGTCTGATGGATTTCGTTGACGCGTCTTTTCAAGCTGAGAGAGCTGTTTCGCTTCTCGATTCTTTGCTGATAAAGTTGCTTTGAGATCCTCCTGAAATCATATATATGGACACACACAAAGTCTAAAGATTTTACAGAAAAGATTTCTGTTCATTTGAGTTCCTGATAACTAGTCTTCAAGTCAAAGCAGTTTTACCACACTAGCCATTTTGTGCAATACCAGGTCTTGGAAGTAGTTAAGACTACTAATCGAGATGGGATTATGAACTGGAAACTACTTTTAATGACAGGGCTGGTGCTGTGCTTTTATTGAAATTATCTGTATGCTACTAGATTACATATATAGTTTTGATTCTATTAATACTGGGTTTTTAAATGATTTTTTGTGTGTGTTTTAGCTATTCCTATTTTATCTATAAGCCGTCTTGTGCCCCTGTTGGGTAGTAAGGCAGGATATAAATGAATATATAATATAAATAATCAGAGATGGGATTTTTCCTAAAGAAAAGGTTCTCTAATCTTCAAGAAATGCTGTGGGTATCCATGTAATACTAGGATTAATACAAGACAATCAGATATCACATGACAAAGTTCAATATACACAGAATATATGCAATTGCCAAATAAAAGACAATAAAGTAAAACAAGAAAAAAACTTGATTCTTATAATAGATAATAAAAGGTTGAAAATAGAACTCCCATTTTCCCCTTTCTTAATGGCAATATTTGCACTATCTTTCCATAAAATATCATCTTAAATGCATGGGAGGCTATCCTAAATAGGTGGTAATTTCCCACTTCCAGGCCTATAGCTTTTCAATATTTCCTATGGATATACTTCTAATGAGGGATTTGTGTGCTCTTTCCCATGTCTCCATGGTTTCTTCCTGAAATTGCTGCAGCCAATTAGAAAAAAAGGTACAAAGCAAAAAACTGATTTGTACGATCTCTCTTGCTCCCTAATTTATCAGCTTTTTCTTCCTCTTTTATTCGTCTCATCCCCCCCCCATGGTTTCTGTCCTAAAATTGGAACTGCTGAGTAGCAAACCCCCAAATACAAGGAAGTAAGGAAGTCAGCTGCTGTTCAGATAAGTGAATCTGCCAAGCATATAGCAAGGTTTGGCATATTTCTTTAAGTATGGATAAGTGAATTTTGGTATAAAGAGCATGCAGATAGCGGGACCTGTGTGTATTCTGAATTTCATTCTCATAAGAGCAAGAGCTGCCTCTGTGGCTCTGTGAATAGGATTCTGAAACTGCGTTAGTTCAGAATGTGGTTGCTAGATTACTAACTGATCCACATCATTCTTGTGCTGTCCTAAAAGCATGACAGGAGGTCAACAGAACAGCCTTTTCCTGCTGTGGTTTCCAATCAATATTAAGAGGCATACTGTGTTTGATCCTTTGGGTAGCATAGCCACTGACAACCATATCCTCCATGAAGCTCTCTAATTCTCCTTCATTGGATGACCTTAGGTTCTAGTGTTATGTTCAGGTATGTTATGTCAAGTTTAATTATTGATATGACATTTTCTTGCTGAATTTACCAACAATTGATTACTGAAATACTAATTTATGAGATCAGAAGCATCAGTTGAACTTGCTTAGTTATTTACCTTCCTCGAAAAGAAAATAAACATGCAATGGAAAACAAAATCCATCACCTACTCTCTTAAGTTTTATGATGGTCCCATAACATTTCAGAGGTTCAACAACTTTTGCTTCAAGTCTTTCTACCTGTAAAGAGGAGCAAGGAAGTATTATTTTAACTTTAAATTTTGGCAATCAGTCTTAAAACTGGTTTTGAGGAAATTCAAACACACAACTATAAGGAAGAGGGAAAACATACTACAGTTCGGCAGTAAGAAAATTCAGTTTTGGTTTTAGTATCTCACAAATTACACCTTCATTTTTACTTTAAAATACAGTTGATTAATTATATGCCTTTTAGCTGAAAGAATAAATTGAAATACAAATGACATCTCTCAAAACACTTACAGTTGTCTTTTCGAAATATTGAAGAAAATAAGCATAGTAGGAAAGAAAACATTTAATACTGCCCCCTCATTCCCATTTACAGTAATAAAGCACGACCAAAGTAAACACAGGTAAATAAATGTGTCATTAACTTTCAGTACCATCTGGTAAAATTTGCCCTCATCATCTGAAGATTTAGTTATTCAATTTGATCAAAGTTTCTAAATGAGTTTTTTTTCAAACACGGGGTATTTCTGCAAGGAAAAGTTTGCTGGATGATACGAGGGGGAAAAGCAGAAAATGGCATGGCAATTTGTGTAACTATAAAACATGACCATTTTGAGAAATGCAAGACAGCAAGGATGTCTCCATGCACCTTCACAGACTAGCTGCAATTTGGATCTTGTACCACAGTGGCTATTAAGTGAAATCATGATGTGACACATGCTATCTGAACGCTTGTCTCTTCTTTTTGTGTTTATTAGATTTGAAGCCAATAAGGCAGGCGCTTTTCTTGCTCTTTTGCTTAGGAGTGTTTTAAGCACCTTATAAATTACGATGATCAAAAATAAAACAGGAAGAAACGGCTGTCATGAGAGTAGCATTAGATCTATGCAAGATACTAACATTTATTATTTTGATTACTGGAAACATTTCCAAGTCATATCAGCTTTGCAACCTGTCTTTGCCTTTCCAAGCCTAAGAACCCAACTAGCAACTGTATCATTCTTTAAGGGGAAAATGTGCACTCATCTCAACAGTGTTGAACACAGGTCACAGTTCAGAAAAGAGCACATAAGAACAGAATAATCATTTTAAAATGGCAAGATGGAAGAGCAGTGTTGTAACTGGGGGAGGAAGTGGCAACAGGAAAAAAGAGGAGCAGTATCAGCTTAGTATGCAGAACCTGTTTTTGAGCCTACACCTGACAATGCCTTTTTTAAAAAGTTTTTTTACCATCACGGCAGGAGTTTATTTTATTTAAAATACTTATATACCACAATTCATGAAAACAGATTCAATGTGGTCATGAGTACATTGCAGCTACAGTTTCAAAAATGGCCACGGTCATTTGCAAGAGGTAGTAGTGCTGCTAATTCCCCAGTATTTATATTGTTAGCTGATCAGTGGATTCAGTGGTTTCCTTGGGCTGCATCAGAGCAAGAAAAGATGCACTTGAACCCCCCTGAAATCAATGTGAAAAAGTTCAGACTAACTTGTCTCATAGGCCACAACTAACATACTCTGGATCCAACCTCTTATTTAAGTGCATAAAGTCATAAGTGCAAATAAAAGTAATAGCTTATAATTTAAAATACAAACTTTCCACCATGAAGTGCATTGTATACCTCTGCGTGGCGATAATCTTGAAGTTTGGAAAACTCATTTGCAAAGTTTTTCAATCCATTCCTTAAACTTGGTGTTTCTGTAGCTGCATAAGCATGAATCTCATTTACTAGAAGATCGGCTTTGTCTCGCAGTCTGGCAGTTTTTCGTACATATGCTGCAAATATTTGGCACAATTCACCAAAGTGTTTTTCCACTTTTGACACAGATTCTCGTACTTGACGAGTCTGGTTGTCCCTAGACAAAGAAGTTAAAGCATTATGGTCAGGCAACATTAACAACAGCTGGTAATACAACTCTGGTAATACTACAACAATTATTTTGATCTCAGTTCATTTGAAGAGAAGAAAACAACAATCCACTCTATTGGTAAGTGTTTAGGGTGAATATCATTGATTCATAGAATTCTAGAGTTGGAAGTGACCATAGTTCAACCCCCTGCAATGAAGGTATCTTTTCCCCCAACGTGGGCTCATAACTGAGCTATTGCTGCTGTTAATCTTCTATAGTTTTCTCAAGTATACTTTCCCCTCCATCAAGTTTGAACAGCATATAGGAATACAGGTGTTCCAAGGTTCCCCAGCTCCTGGGATTCCCCAAATGCCACATCTGATTATCTGCTGGAAGTGATAAAAATGTTCCTGGGAGTTCAGTGATGAACAATATATTCAGAGCAAGTCTTCAGTTACCTGTATGAACATGCCCAAGTATTACAGGATTCAAAAACCTGAATGCCAGCAAGAGCTGTTACGCTGGTGAATACTAGGGGCAATTTTCGCAGCGGTGGCCCCACACCTTTGGAACAGCCTCCCTGCATTCCACCAAGTGGTGTATGCCCTTTTCAATGCTGGCTATTAATATATGAAAACAAATTTATTCAAGTCTGCATTTGCTAAACCATGCTGCTGCTGGTGTGCACGTGTACTTTGCAAATGTATTTTCAGGAGGTACCATATGAGGGCTGTGTGCCCTGAAAGATGGGTTAAAAACCTTTCCATGGGCGTAGCCAGGATTTGGGGAGGGGGGCAGAACCAAGTTAGTTAAGTACAGTATATCTATTGTTCTACTTGATGGGGAGGGGGAGCTGCCTCCCTGCGCCACTTTGGCTATGGGCACAAACCTTTCAAATACATATTCGAGCTGCATTGCAAAAATAGTTTAGCTCATTTTCTAAAACCCAGAAGGATCACATATTCCATAGTATCTAGAACGTGTGTGGGGAATGGAGAAAAGAATGAGTCATTCATTACATCTCCCGAGGGCGACTTCGAAGCAGGCGCAACGACAGCGAAGTTGGGGTGGGTGCTTTTAGCGACGGGGCGCCTGAGACCGGGGCCGGGCTTCGTTTCTCCTCCAAGCTTTCCATTGCGCTCGGATTTGCGCAAGGAGAACTTGCTGCGGAGCTTTGAATCCAGCTCCTCGGCCCCTTAGGTTCAGCGGGACCTCCCAAATACGCGCCCCGAAGGATTTCAGCGCCGAGCTCTAAAATACGCGCAGGGTTCCTGAGCGCGTGCAGAGTGCCTCCCCCCCCGCGGCCGAGCCACACCAGGCGATGAAGAGAAGGGGCTGGGCTACTTGCTTGTTAGGACACAAACCCGGGGACCCATTGTATGGGTGTGGTGGGGGGACCCCCGAGTCAGTCTCACCTTCCCCTCCCCGAAACCCCAAATTAGGGGGAGGGCGCGGCCATCGCGCGTCCCCCCGTCCACCCCAAGGCGAGCATCCTTGTCCGCCGCGCCTCCCCCCACCGACCCCGGTCGGCGAAGATCCCTCGCTTTGCGGCCAACAGCCAAGGCGGACGGGAGCTTGTCCCTCTGCCTCTCCGCAGAGCCGTTACCTGGCGTCCAGCCCGCGGCCCAGCATCAACATGGCGGTGGCGGCAGCAGAAGCCGCAGCGACGACAACAGCGGCGGTTAGCGGAAGGAGCCCCGGGCGCGCGCGCGATCGCTCGCTCGCTCACGGCTTCCAGCCGGTTCCCTTGGAAACCGAGGACCGCCCACCCAGCCAGCCGGCTGCGCGGCCTAGCCTCGCCCACCCGAAAAAGCCGGCCTGAGGGGAGAGAGGCGGCCCAAGGAGCTCGCCTCCCTTTCGCTCCTCGGGAGGGCAGGGCTCGCGTCTCTTCCCTTCAGAGTCAGCCCGGGGGAAGCGACCGCCGTTATTTTAAAACGGAGCCCTTTCCGGGCAGTACTGTTAGAGCAGGGGGTGCGGGGAGAGCGTTTCAAGATGCTGCTGGACTCCAACTCCCATCAGCCCCGGATAAGGTGGCGAGGTGTGAGGAATGATGGGAGCTGTAGTCCCAACAGCGCCTGGCGTACCACAGACATCAGTGAGCTCTCATTCCTTAGTCACAGAATCATAGAAATGTAGAGTTAAAAGGGACCCTGAGGATCATCTAGTCCCACCCCCTGCAATGTAGGAATATGCAGCTGCCCCTGCAGGGAACAAACCTGCAACCTTGGCATTGTCAGCACCACGCGACTGAGCTGTCCAACTGAGCTGTCCTGAACGCAGTTGTTTATTTGTCACTGTCTTTATGTCGCCCATGGCAATCCAAAGCGACCTGCAAACACTCCAGCCAGCTACATGAGCCCCTCACCTCGCACAAGACAGACAAGAAGGATGAAGAAGGGAAGGGGGCTCTTTGCAATCTCTGCAGCATCTACTGTGTCTTTGGATAGTGCACAGCCATCCTCAATTATTTGCGACCTGGAGCAAGAAGGCAGGTGACCCAGGGAGTGGAGGTTGCTGTGGCTGTAGGGCTGTTCTTCCTCTCATTTTTTCATTTGGGCTGGTGCAGTGCAGGCATAGGCAAACTTGGCCCTCCAGATGTTTTGAGACTGCAATTCCCATCATCCCTGATCACTGGTCCTGTTAGCTATGGATGATGGGAGTTGTAGTCCCAAAACATCTGGAGGGCCAAGTCTGGGGATGCCTGGAACTTTACATGGTCTTTGGGTGGCTAGAGAGAGTGATAGCAGCACAAGACAACTAGTGGTGGTGTGAATGGTTTCTTACTGCTATAGCCACCGATTCCTCTCACTTGCTCACCCTGCCCTCCTCCCCATCCTAATGGCGTGACAGACAGACAGAGGGGGCGGGGGTAAACAGAGCAGAAACCACCGTATTTTCCAATGTGATCTTATTTCTGTTACCTATTATTATTTTAACAAAATTCATATACACTGCTTGATTGTGAGAAAATCTCTAAGCGGCTTAGCTATGCAGTAGAACCTCAAAGTTAATCAGCACAAAGCTGATCTGAACGTCAAGAAAAGTGCATGGTGCAGTCTTCATTGGACTCTGAAACTTCAGAATTCAGGTGTGTCTTCACATAAGCAGAAAGCCCCTTCATGCGAAATACTTCCAACACTTGAATCCTTCTCACTCTTTTGATCGTTTTTCATGTGCAGTGACTTTCAGGGGGACCCTAGAAAGGCTTTAAAAGGAGATAAGACAATGCAGGAGATGGTTATTTTCCCATAATAGCTGAGTGGGACCTCCCTATTCAGAGGTGATGTGTTGCTGAATACTATTTGTTGGAGAGCAATGCCAGGAGAAGGCTATTGCCTTCATTCCTTACTGTGGACTTCCTTAGAGCATCTGGTTGGGCACTGTGAGGAAATAGGATGCAGAAGTAGATGGACCTTTGGTCTGTGGCAACAAGCTTCTTATGCTGTTAGGGAGGCAGTAAGAGAATTGACCCCCTTCATGGATCACTGCCTTGTCGTGGCGAAGGGGCTTGAAGAACTCAGAGAAGCTATGAGCTATGCTGTGCAGGGCCACCCAAGATGGACAGGTCATAGCCGAAAGTTTAGACTAAATGTGATCCACCTGGAGAAGGAACTGGCAAACCACTCCAGTATTTTGCCAAGAAAACTCCATGGACATAAAAAAGGAGAAGCTTCGAGAAGAAAGTGAGTGTTTCCAAGGCATGCTCTGGTTCATGGGGTCATGGAGAATCGAACACGACTAAGACGACTAAACAACAACAACAACAAGAGAATTGACAGATACAAGGATATCAAAGCAAACGAATGTTTGTTTTGTTAGTGAAGTTCAGTCTATGGAGGCTGCCATTTTTTTGGGAGCAGTAGTGGAAGAGGGAACATTTAACCTTTCCCTTCACATTCCTTTCCCGATCAAAAGTGCCTTCTCCCTATTTGCTCTGCGTCTCCCTTCCCGTGGGACAAACAGAGGTCTTGATTGGGAGAATAACCCTTCTGCACCACTGCTCCAAAGAAACAGTCTGCTCCCCAAAGCTGCTTTTCAGAAAACAATGGGAGATGCAGTCATCACAGATCTCCCAGAGAATATGTACTTTGTTTCTTAGTGTCCTTGAACGGAAATTTGGACAGTGCACACCTGTTACCAGACACAGGACGCAGTTTGCAGCAAAGCACTACAAATGTTGCATTTTGAGCATTTGTGGCAGCATTCAGACCTTGAATGGTGACAAACATGCATGTCCAACTCACATGGGTAGGGAGCCACCATACACAGGGTTCGTCATCTCTTTTCCTGCTGTTCCAGATTCCCAGTGCTTGTATGAATAGGGCTGCTCCGGGCCCTACAGTAATAGAACTCTCTTCCTCTAAAAACCTGCCAAAAGTTGAACCTGAACATTTTCTTGAAGTCTTGGGAGGCAGTTTTGTTTGGATTAGTTGCTTATTGCTGTGGATAAGCAAACAGTAGGTGGTTTTTAATTTGGTAGAATTTGCATTTTTACAGTATGGCTTTCTTTACAATAACTTTAATTTGTTTTATGATGTTTTTAATAATCTTGATTGCTTGGGGCTGAGTGAGCTTAAAATCTACACGGGGGAATAAATGAGCAGAAATCATGGTAAGAGAAATTACATCACTTTCTGCCCGCTCTAAACTCAAATGGGAATCAGACCCAAGGGTTTTCAGTGCCTAGTCCCAAGCCCAGATGGCAAGTGCTTTGCTCACAAATTCTTGAGATATTGCTTTTAATTTACTGACCTGAGCATTTTCTTTTTCGAAAATGCATATTAGCTTAAAAAATATAGTCTTAATTTTATTCTTAATTATCAGAATATATCATTTCAGTATCTAAAATTGTAGAGATGAAAATGTTAGCTTTTAGCAAGTGACTCAGTTTTAAAGTTGTGAATAAACTGGAACCATTAAATGAGAACTCACATTTTAGGTGTGTGTGTGTGTGTATGTATTCCAGGTATTCTGTACAGGAATTCCATTTTGCTATCATACATCCATGTGGTTCTGGCAGTGCTGATGTCTTGATTCATAGTTACTGTTATTTCATCTGCCTTCTCAAAAGGCAAGGCTTCACAGCAAGATTTTCATCAGTGAGTCCTTGCTTAAGATCACAGGCTGCATGTAAAGGTGGTGTTTCCCCTTCGCATTAACACGCCAGCACAGTCAGCATGGTATCTGCAGTCTTTATTCCTAAAATATGACTTGCCACAGTTGGAGGAAGAATGCTGGAAGACAGTGGTAATGTTGCATGGTAGCATTGCACATTTTCATATATGAGACTTAAATTTCGCTGAAACCTCCCTTCTGCTAGATGGGATGGGGAACCTGTTACCCTCTAGATGTTCTTAGACTGTAAGTCCCATCAGCCTCAACCAGCCTGATCAGTGGTAAGAGATAATGGGAGGTGTAGTCCAAGAGCAATTGGAACAATTGGAAAAAAATTGAGGGTGGGCATTGTAATTCAAATGAACGTTCTGGGCAGTGTAGGTTTTCCTTTCACTTACCCACTCTGAAATGTACAAATTCACAAGGATGGCCACTAATCTCAGTCTTACCCCTGTATGTGCAAAATGAGAATGGTAACTCTGGTCTACCTTGACTATAAGGTGCCCTAAGGATTGCTGACATAATATATGAGCAGCAGTTTTGAACACCTGAAACGTGCTACACAAAAGTTAGCTCTTAATTTCATGTCACTTTTTAAATCACAGGAACAGTACCAAAGTCAAAGAGCAACAGGAGAAGCTTTTATTTCCACAAAATGTAGACAGTTGCCAGGCTAGGGTATATTACGTTACAATATGTGACACAGCACCAGATTAGCAACTAGATAACAATTTCAATCTTGTTTAACTGTGTTCTCTCCAATGGGTCTTCATGACAGGAAAATATTATTGATTGGACCATTCTGGTCATAGTAAACAGAGTTGTCTTGAAGGTGATGGATTTACCCTGGTCAGTCTATAAATAATATATCCTTTTTACAGTCTGGCATTACTCTAGTCTTTTACATCAATATTGGGCAGATATGATGTTTAGAGAATTGGCTTTTTTTATAATAGAACCTCAAACTTTATCACTAAGGTTCAATTTCAAATCTTAGGTGAATAGATTATTGTCAGGCCCTGAAGCAACATTATTTAATTTTTCTAGGTGTAGTGAGTTTTGTGAGGTTTTTTTGAACCCTCAGATCAAATCTGAGGCTGTGTACACATTTTACCTTTCCAGCACATTCAAAGCACCTTCTTTCCCCCAAATAATTCTGTGTACCATAGTTTGTTAAGGTTTGCCACGTATTGTGAGGGGTAAATACAGTGCCCAGAATTATTTGAGGGAAAGAATGGGCTTTAAAGGCATGGTATGTACGCAGCTTGCTTTTCAAGTATGCACAAAACCTTTAGAAACAGCAGGAGTCGTGTAGCTATGCATGTATGTAGAAACTTGTCCCACAATCTATCCTTTTTTTCACTTGTAAGGAAAACTGCAGTATTATCAAGTTTTAGAAGCTCAAGAAGGCTCATCTGTCTGTATTTTTTGGTTTGTGCATGTGAATATCCTTTGTGCGTGAGTGTATAGAAATGGTAATCCTGCATTCCCATCAAATTTTCTGGGTGATTCAGCCAGGCATTTCTTACATTCTTCCTCCACCGGAGGTTAGGGATCTGTGGCTCTCCAGACGGTCTCCAACAACAACATCTGCCCCAGCTAGCATGGCCAATGCTGAAAAATGATGACCTGCTGCTTCCAATTCTTATCCAAGATGCATAAATAGAAGTATGTTAGCTTACATGGAAACTTTTGAAAATACAGTTCCTATTCTTAGCATGCTCTCACGATTTAGACTCCTTAAAAATGTGTGTTAATTTAAGT